AACATGTATTAACTTCGAATTAATATGTATGATACCACTACTACCACTACTACTACTACTACTAATAATAATAATAATAATAATAATGCTTATAATGATAATAATGACAAACAAAAACTTTGCTTCATACATCACAGGGTTTACAAACACAGTGCGGGGGGGTAACTAAAGCACAACACCCGGTGTGCTGGCACCCCCCTCCCCCTCCCAGTTGGCCAGAGAGAGAGCGGGGAAATTACCCGCCAGCAGTTGTTAATGCCTGCGGTAATCAGTCCGTGAAGTGTGTGTGCGGTACGGGACTGTTTATTCTGTGGTTGGTTGTGGTACAAAACTGTTTGTTCTGCGACAGGTTTGGTGTTGGGCTCGTGGCCTATCAACCTCCGGAGAGTTATTAAGGCCACCACAATATCTTACTGACCAGTCAGCAGGTATACTTTAGTCTTAAACATAGTCCAGGACTACAGTAAACTCTCAGTGTACGTACACCGAGAAGTAGGGTTACACAGAGAGGTGTATATATCCCTGTGAGTGTGCGTGTGAGAGCAGCGGTGCCAGTATGTCTGAGAGCCCGTTACCAGGCGCTTGTTTCATGATCAGCAATAAAGTGTGTGTCAAGTGCCAACTCTCATTATATATACTTCCGTGCAGGGGGGTGCCACTTTACCCTTGCCTCTGCAATACGAAGAGTGCCAGTAATCGCTTATTAAAATTTGTGGCAATCCTCACTTGTTTAACATAGGCACATGTTGCTTTATAAGGCTGTGAGAGAACTGTGATCTCTCGCAGGACGCCCATGGTTACAGTGCTGTGTGTCTTGTGCATTGTGCAATTGTTACCCTTTTCCCAGGCCTTAAGTACCACAAGTCGGGTATCCTCGGATTTGTAATGGCATTTGCAGTTCGGATAAAGAGTGTGTAGTGACACACGTCATCTGTTATGCTGGCAGATGGCAGTCTATGTATCTGGCCTGTATAACCATGAGGTATCTACACACAGAAATCACAATTGCGTGATGCATCAAATGAACAAATCCACAAGGGCCGTGAATCGACGGATTCTCTCGAACCTGCGTCCGAGAGAATCCCAGACGCTGGCTTAATCAGCTCAGTCGATTAAGGCAGCGTCTGGGATTCTCTCGGACACAGGTTCGAATCCTCATCACGGCCCTTGTGGATTTGTTCATGAGGTATCTACTCGCCGCCATATTTGGATGGTACAGTATGTAGTGGGTAGTGAGAAAGTTCGGTTTCCCTGACCTTCCCAATGGCTGAGATAATCCTTCCTCAGCTACTCCAGGCGATGGAGCCCATACTGTCACTTGCGAGTATGGTATAAACTGCATTCTGATTGGTGTAACTTGTGTGTCGTGGCTCTTCACGAGCCACGACACATGGCGCCAGGTGTGTGTGTCCATTTCACTCGGGTTGTGTGCTGCTCATTCTCGTGGAACTGTTGGAGCATTACAAGTGGGCACTCCTCTCAGCCCCTGAGTCCCGTCAACCCTACACCTACAGAACTAACTCTATAGTGACTCTTGGTCCATGATCAACTCTCACAATGGTTATCTTATCTTCAGGTTATCTTGAGAGGATTTCGGGACTTAGCGTCCTCGCGGCCCTGTCCTCGACCAGGCCTTCTTTTTGTTACCCCCCCCCCCCAGGAAGCAGCCCGTAGCAGCTGTCAACTCCTAAGTACGTATTTACTGCTAGGCGAACAGGTGCATTAGGGTGAAAGAGGCTGCCCATTTGTTTCCGCCTCCACCGGGGATCGAACCCGGAACCTCAGGACTACGAATCCCAAGCGCTGTCCACTCAGCTGTCGGCCCCCCCCCCCCGGGGCCTGTCATGGTCGAGAAGAATCATCTACAATTTAGGCCATAATTCAAGACACCGGACGGAACCGCGCGTGTGAATGTGAGAGTGTGAGCCAGCTCTGCCAGTAAGGAACCGCGCGTGTGAATGTGAGAGTGTGAGCCAGCTCTGCCAGTAAGTAAACTGTATATATTTTTGCGTACACATATTGTTGACTCACATTTCGTGGTGCCACATACAACCCAGAGAGCTTGATGAATGGTCTTGACTGCGCGGTACGACTACTGTCAATAAGACCTCCCAGTGTGCAGCCTTCTGACCGAGCACGTGGTTGTGAATGTATTAGCAACACATGTCGCTCAAGTGTGCATGATGCTATTCCTGAGCATCAGCTTAAACTCCTAATTGTCCTGTGCATACAGCACAGGAGTTAGGCAGCAGTTTATTACTGGGACGTGCATGAGTGCTAGACGCACGCACGTCTCATTTAATCATACATTTTTTGTTGTGTTTTGAGTGACGACTTATATTGAATGTTGTAACTAGCTCATCAAGATTGTAACTTGCTTAGCTAAATGAATTGTGGGGTTCAGTCCCTGAGCCCATTATGTGACTCTGTAACCCTTTCCACTACCGCCCACAAGATGGGTATGGGGTGCATAATAAATGAACTAAACTAACTTTTGAGTATCAGTGACGGATACTGCTCGTAGATTTGCTAACACAACGTTCCTTAGAGTAAAGATAGTTATCCCATTTCCATGTGTAAATATGTCTGTATTTTATATTTAATAAATTAAATGTTAAGCACATGGGGTTTCAGGGAAAACACTTCTCTCTCATATTTGTGAAACTGCCGTCCCTACAAAAATATCCTCCGCTTATACTGGCCTCTAGAACCCCAAATTCCATGAACTGATTACCGCTTGCACCACCAATCAGTTCGAGTCAGACACCCCCAATATCTGGCAAGATTACCTCAAGACTATGTGCCTCTTGCCCTAGGCATCTTATGTTGTTGATCACCACAGTATGAACGGCTACCCCGCCTGCACTAGCACACCTGCCCTAGCATACCTGCCGTAACACACCTGCACTAGCACAACTGCACTAAGCTGCTCCAACATCAAAATAATTTCGGACAGCAACCTTCGACTATATGAAGTGATACATAGTGTGTGTCAAGAGCTGCTGAACGTTTTCTCCTCACAATTACCATATCTTAGTTATCGTATTTGTCGGACTAAACAACGCACCTAGTTAACAAAGACAAATGTGTGACAAAAACAACTATTTTAATATGTTTAATCATACATTTATGTTAATACAATATATATTCGGTTGGTGGTGGACCGATAACAGGCGTCCTGTCCGCCGGTAAATACAGTACAATTAGTTTAATTCGCTTACCCTGCGCTCCCACCAGTTACCCTTACCAGTTCAGTTGTGTATATTGTGCCCGAGCAACACACTGCTTGCACATAAGTTCTTCTGCTCTTTAAGTCTGGCTGTGCTTTGAGAGGCATTACTGCGCGTGATGCACATAATTTATTCTCTTGAGTATGTAAAGTATGCAAAAGTTTGTTATATAAATCTTTGAATGTACAGATTTGGTGTTTATTAAAAAAATTTGTTTTAAATATTTTAACCAAAAGTATTCAGAATATATAGAATCTGAGCCCAAATTTTAATTAGTCTAGTTAACGATCGGATCACCTAATTAAATGTGAGCGTTGACTCCAGTTGCCGTTGTAACTAATCCTGTCAATTTAAACAATTACAGTTAAGGGGGCATATCAAACGCAAAAATTCGGAAAAATCGAATATTTTTGAAAAATTTATAAAAATACTACAACGTTCTGGCAACACTTTGGCGCAAACACGATAATGTTATGATATAAATTAAAGTATTTATGGTACATTTCCATGCGTAATTGTGCAGAATCCGGTGCCCCGCGGCTGTGGCGCGCCAAGAGTATTGCGTCGTACGTTCTAAACGTCAATTTTTTCGTAATAACGTCGGAAATAACTATGTATATATGACAACAAATATACACTAATTGGCAACCGTCTCCTAGTGAAGGTGAGTGAGGTACCCAGCTACAGTCACATGGTGTGTCCTGTTGAGAGAGGAGGTGTTGACGCGCGCTCCATTTTGGCTCCTGAAATCTCGCCTGTTAGCGTCTAGTGCACAATGACCTATAAACGGAGGACTCGGAAGACAAAGGAAGCCAATTTGGCACGCGGTCGCCGTCTTTGGCAGGAAAAAGAGCCGCTGTAGCACAAGGGAGAGTTATATCAAGTGAGGATGTAGGCGGCCTCCCCGCCTCAGCTGTGAGAGGCCTGACGCCGCCGCCACACGCCTCGACCCTCCTCACACACACTCCTCAGCCCCTCGATGTGTATGGACTGGCCACGACAGTGCCATCTACATCTACTGGTGTGGCAGTGCCATCTACATCTACTGATGTGGCAGTGCCATCTACATCTACTGGTGTGGCAGTGCCATCTACTGGTGTGGCTGGTGTTGCAGTGCCATCTACTGCTGTGGCTGGTGTTGCAGTGCCACCTTGAGGACCCACAATTCGGACCAATTTCAATAGGTTAGTATCTTTTAGTGTTATAATTTGGTATTTTGTAATAATTGTAATATGTATGTGCAGGATATATATATATCATTTTTTATTTTTTTATTTTTTTTTTTTATTTTTTTTTTCGTTTGTTATCAGGGGATGTGCATGGAACTTGCACACCTTGCTCAATGGATGCCTATCTACAAGGCTGCCAATTATGAACAAAATCTGTCGAAGTCAAGCTCAGCAACAGGTGGCCGAACTTTGATCTTATTTTACTCAGGTAAGTAATTTACAACTTCAAAGTATTTCATAGCTTTCATTTATTAATCAATTTACATGCAAATTACACCTTATATGTAGAGTTTGTGCTTCTACAAAATCTAGTAGACATTTTAGTCCAAAGTCCATTTGTTGATTTTATAAAAATTTATAAACATCATATATTGCATATTTTTCGAAGGGTAACTTTGAAAAATTATATTATTGCACTAAACACTTTATTGATAAAACTGATCACTACAATCCTTTATTATGTGCTAATTTTAATATCTGAGTGTTATAGAAATGATTTTAGTTAACAAATGTGGTCCCTAAAATTATTTGAAAATGTTGAAAATTCGTTGCATAATACGTTGTGTATTTTTTTTCTCCTTTTCTGTTTAGGGTGTGATGGTGAAACTTGGACCAGTTGCAGCCCTTTCTATAACCATTTCATAAATAAATTTATAAGCAAATTGGCAAGAGATCCGTGAAGAAACACACTGCTGTTGACCAGACCACACACTAGAAGGTGAAGGGACGACGTTTCGGTCCGTCCTGGACCATTCTCAAGTCGTCCATATCTGGAGAGCTAATTTGTCTGAAAGATGTAATAATTCTTCATTACATGCACTGTATATGTGATTATAATGATAAAGTTTATAAAATAATTGCCCAAGTGTAGTTACAGGATGAGCAAGTAATTCCTGAAAGAAGGCACCAAGCCAGGAAGGCTATGTAGCACCATATGTGCGGAATATTTAGAGGGTGCTAAATGTCACTAAGGATGCCAATACAAGAACAAAAGCTCCTAAGGCGAACGATATAAAAGAAATCGGATTCACCAAAAATTCTATTGAGGGACAAGTGACCGTGAGGGGCGGTCGGGAAGCAAGACGCGCGTTCGTCCTGAAAGTCCGGACATTTAACAAGGATATGCACAACTGCAAGAGGGACATTGCAGTTAGGACAATAAGGAGCAGGGTGACGCACCATTAAGTGCCCGCGAGTTATGCGTGTATGCCCAATACGCAACCTCGCCATAGCCGTTTCCCACCGCTGGTTATGGTAGTAGGAGGAAGACCATATGGACACTTTAAGCCTTGAGAGAACGCTGTTTGCTGCCAGTAACAGAAGACCAACAACCCTACCAACGGACAAGGACCGAGGAATGAATAACTGGGTAGAAGTCGGAAAAGGGATAATTTTACGGGAGATGGGACGAGTGTGGATAGCCTCCTTAACAGCAGCGTCCACACGTTTATTTAAGGACACGCCAATATGGCTAGGAACCCATAGTCTACTACCCCTGGAAACAAAGGTGAAAAGGGAACAGCACGTTAAAGAGCAGGATCAGGGTCAGCAAAGTCAGGGTTAAGGGGCATGGGTAAACCGAGTAAAGGAGGGAAGGGAGCTAGAGGACTGATCAGGGACGGACGAGCAGGGTCTGGAGAAGGAAGAGGGGGGGGGGGGAATAACCGAGGGTCAGGGACAGCAGCAGGAGGGGGCAGAAACCAGGGAGTGCACCTCAGCAAGGGCAGCAACCGAGAGGGAAGCGGGGGCCAAAGAGACCTCTATAGCAGGAACAGGGGGCATAACCACCAAAACGGGAGGGGACGGAGCGAGGAAGAAAGCAAAGCCTTCTTTCCCGCCGGGGAGGATGAAGGAGAGGAGCCAGGCTTACACTTCTGACTCAAAAGACAGGCGTCCCAGCAACAATGTACTGGGCAACAGATTTTAGCATCTGAACATGAGAAGCAGAACGAGAGCATACACAGGGGGGGGGGGCTTGGTCGGCCACCCCACGAGCCTGAGAGGGTATAAGAATAACAGAATTTGACATGAAACGAGAATCAGACATTCATTCACGAATGTGTCCCCATACCCACCATGGAGCAACAATTAGACACAGGACACCCAACAAGAAGCTATCGCCGATCAAGTCGGGGCCCCCTAGGGGTGCGTCACGAGTATACACCCCACAAACGCCACCTTAAGAACCGTCAGTCCGTCGAGATCAGATTCAGTGACGAAAGGAGTTTTGACAATATAAGGGTCCCCTCGCTCACGGCGTTGGGTACTACAGTTCTATGGGCGCAAGAGAATGCGTCCCCAAACACCCTGGCTGCAAAACAGAAGTCCAAAAGAATAATCAAAACTAGCAAAAGGTCGTCAGGAATTGACAATTAGAGGAGAAAAGGGGGGAGACAAACGAAACTAGAAGAAATCCCTTCTGTAGCAGAACGCAGAGCTGCATATGGCCGTTCAAAGGACTGCCAGCTTCTTTCTGGCGCTTTCCCAGATGCTAAACCCATTCAGCTACAACCTCCTCCAGTAAAGGTTACCAGACCCCTCTATTACCGTCCTATTGGTGATGAACCTGTTAATGAATATGCAGGTGCACCTCTTCCTGATAACTACTCAAATGCTGAAGCCTACGTTTCTGCAAAAGATTTATACTCTGGTCGTCGTAATGCAGCTAACAAAAGGAAAAGCGATCCGGCGAAGAATCTGAGAAGACAGCAGCAGGAGCACAAGGCTACAAAAGGACAGAGGACTGTCCCACGGAGCATCACACCCCGGCAGCCGACCACCAAGCCCCCTCACGGCGCCAACGGGCCGGATAAGGAGTTTTTTTTTTTTTTTTTTTTTTTTTAGTTAAAATTACTTCTGCTGTTCTGTTTCAATTTCTGCTGTTCCTACCATCATGTAATTATGATCATTCCTTTTGTTATTCCCTTTTTCAATTCATTTATGCATTGATCTCAATTAGTTTTAAGTTTTAGTCGTGTTTTTGTCACATCTTGCCTGAAACGCTGTGCGTATTAGGGGCTTTAGACATAGTATGTATTAGCTCTAGAAATTCAACATTGTAACTCATCTTGTATATATGTACTTTTACCTGAATATACAATTATTATTCATCATTATTAAAGATACGGGCCGCAGAACACCGAACGTACAATTGAAAAAGTAGGGGGACGAAGGGAATATCATAATGAATCAAGAGAGCAGTAGAGTTATGGGCCCCAGCAAAAGCTGGAGGGGAAGAGAGTTAGAGCCACAGAAGCGACCAGAACAAGTGCTAAGCATCGGTTCCTGAAGACAAACACTAAGTGGATAAAACTGCATAATTCGAGGTTAGAGTTCATGAAAATTGGCATAAAAATCACAAATATTCCATTGAAGAATGGACAGAAATAAAGAGAGAACAGAAGCAGAGATAATAAGGGAGAAACAAAGGCAAAGAACAACACAGTAGACTAAGACCAGGATCAGTGAAATCGAGGGCATAGGCAAAGCAAGCAAAGACATTGGAGTCAAGGGAGCAGGAGGATGAATCATGTCAGCAATTACTCCAGCTTTAAATAGGGTTGTTTGCAACAATATTCCACTCTAGAGACTACAATATGTTTAATAACTACATACCTCGCATTTCTTTAGTCTTTCCTTCAGACTAAGCTCGAGTTTCTGGTGTTCCTTCACTGTCTCCTGCAAAAGGGTTCTTAATCTTTGATCAGTGAATTGGGGTTATGGGGTATAGGCAAAGCATGCAGAGACAATGGAGTCAAGGGAGCAGGAGGATGGATCGGGTCAACAAATAATGGATCAAGTCAGCAAGCTTTGAATAGGGCTGTTAGTTTGCAACAATATTCCACTCTAGAGACTACAATATGTTTATTAACTACATACCTCATATAATTTTAATTTTTTCATGAGATCTTCGATCTCAACTTTTTGTTCTTGAGTTTCTTTTTTGAGATTTTCGATCTCAACTTTTTGTTCTTGATTTTCTTTTTTGAGATCTTCGATCTCTTCTCTACCCCACACCTTCCCTTCAATTATTATTGAAGGTGAAGGTGTGAGGGAGTCTACATCTTCCCGATACTCCGGGACTATCTCTGATATATCTCCGGTGGTCCTATGGAGAGAGCAAAAGGCCATTAGTGAAACAGAGATGAATCCGAAATATTTTCTCTTATGCAAAATCTAGATTAAAAAAGTGTTGAATGCAATGAAATGCCAGTTTCTGGATGAGCCCCAGAGGCTCCCTGAAACTATCATACACTGATTAATGCCATATTACTCGGTGCCATTAGTCGCAAAGTTCTATTGGTCTACAGAGGGATACAAGCCAGAACCAGGTCTCAAGAGGCAAAAGGAGTGATGGCCTTTGAACACTTCAATGTAAAGTTATTTATACTTGCCACCAACTGGGGAAGGAACCCAGAAAGAGGCAAACCAAAAGACTGCATGGTTAAAACTAAAGACCACAGCCTGAAAATTGCCAAAATGAACCAGCGTTGAATGTAATGAAATGCCATTTTCTGGGCGAGTCCCGGAGGCTCCTCGTAGCTTACTGGACTGATATGTTTCTAGACCATTTTGATTGAAGTTCTTGTGTACCAGGGACCACAAGCAAGAACCTAGCCCCCTCAGAGAGGCACGAGGAGCAATGGCCTATAGAAACCCCCATGTGGTTAGAGGCATTCCATGTGTGCCAATGACCGGGTTAGGCACCCAGAAAAGTAGGCGTCCCAAAAGAAACCTGGTTAAAAATTGCTACCGAAAGCCAAATTATCAAGCAGAACTCCCCAATCTGAAAATGAGCAAACAAGCATGACATCATTACTGTCGTTGTCTGTGCAGCTCCCCCCCTCCCCAAGAGGGGGAAGGGGGAGCCCCAGACCCCCGTGCTGGTCATGCCACCCCAGTTCAGAGGTTGAATATAAAAAAACGTGAATATCTCCGACCGGAAGATTGCCGAAGAACCTCCAGGATTCGCCCAGAAAATGGCGTTTCATTACATTCAACGCTGGTTTCCTGTGGATAGCTCCTCTGGCTCCCTGGAGCTACCTAACCACAGAAAAGGAAAAGAGAGACGTACCTGGGAGGCTGCCGCCATTCACACCAACTCGAAGTTGAGACCACTAGCTGCAACCTGCGACCCATAGCGACACACGCCTGACTAGGACCAGGAACACAAACGAGGTAACGGGCGGCCAGGACCCTGTCCGACCTCCAAAATCCTCACGCCCAAATGTCAACTCAAGACATATCACCCAAAAAGCAGCAGCTAGAGCAGCAAATTAGCGAACGTCATGGATTCGAGGATAGACCGCAGGCTGGCTGGAATGAATAACCCTGCAGATGACCTGGGAGACCCGAACCCACAAACAGTGGAGGAAACAGAGAACTTTTAGCATATCCCCGGCCACAGAGGCCATGGCGCACGAATAATGGTGAAGAGCCGCAACCGCACACAAAACATGGTCCACTCCCTGGCCAAACCAACCAAGCATCAACCCTACAGCCCTTACGGAAAGCCACCGTTCCATTCTTCGCCAGAAAAGAGGGAGACTGCTGAAAATGAACAAACCTACCACCAGGACAGAAAGAGCAGAAAACCGTGCATGGGAAGAGAGCATGAAGCTTCCCAACCTGACCCCCAGAAGCTAATGCCAACAGGAAAAAGAGCCTGAGAGAAACAATCCAGAACTGAAGGAGCCACAACAAACCAAGGAGAAAAGAGAGCACCCAGTCCAAAGACCAGGACAACTCAGATGGTGCATGAGCAGGCCGAAGGTGCACAGTGCATAATGCTTGCGGAACGGAGCAGAAGTAACAACCCTCAGAATGCAAGCAAAAGCGGCTCTGCCAACACCACACGATTTGAGGCAACAGTATTCAGCATCAAAAGACAGTTTCTGAAAAAGTCAAGAGAGAAAGGACAAAACAACCAGATCCGAAATAGATGACAATCTACGAAGGGAGAGAACCCGGCAGAAAGAACACCAGGAAATTTCATACTGTCGCCGAGACGAAACTCGCAAGTGGGACACCATCTGTGAAGCCACCTGATCACCATGCAAGTGGTGATAAACCAGGTCAGAAAGACACAAAGAGCAGAGGAGAAGACCGAACCAGCCACGTACCATACTGGTCCAATCTGCTGAAAGAGGTGGAACTGCAGGAAACTTCGCGGGTTCGAACACTGAACAAGCAGCGCCTGAAACCAAAGCTGGGTCAGCCACCAAGGGGCCAACAGGACTACTCTTCTCTGGGACGGCTCTAAAAGAGCCAGAAGTCACTAAGAGACCAGCACCAAAGAGCCAAGGACCAAAGAGAACCCACACGGGTCAGGCAAGGAACCACCGGAGTACAGTCCAAATGGAGCCTGATCATCGAAACCCGAGCGACCCGCACCCTCTGAAGTGACAGCCAAACAGGCGCGAACTGTGTTGTGAGCCCTACTGAAGGACGGAGCCCACTGCTCCTGGCTGGCCTGGTGAGCACTGGTCACAAAGCCCCAGCCAAGAGACAAGGCATCCATAAACACTTTGAGCGAGGGCTCAGGTAGGATATTCGTTTGCCTTGTTCGGGTAGAAGGTAGACACAGTAGTCGCTTCTGTATATATTTATTGACTGAGATAGCAAGGTATATATCTGCCTAGCCGAGGTCCTTCTACTCTGAGCCTGTGAGGATAACTGAGGCTGCTGGGAGCATGGCTGATGCTCCTCTGTCTGGCATGACGTCGGAGGCCTACTTGCCTGCGATTGGTTACATTTCAACTGACAGAATTTGAGTATAACAAGGAGCCACGGCACTGAACACCGAAAAACACAGAGAAAGCTGGCGATGCTGCAACCAACGCAAGGCCTCCAGAGGCCGAACCCAACAATCATGAGAGAGGTGTAAGGGAGATCCCTGAAGGAACCAGAACAGCTGCTGAAGCCAAACCCGACCCGGCGGGTAAACAAGCACAGCGAAGTTCAGACGTCTGCACAGCTGCTCAAACAACCACTGAGGGACCTGGGGGCCCTCCAGAAACAAAGGCGGGACTGCAGCCACAGCAACAACACCAGAGGGAGAGACAAGGAAGCAGTCCAAGAGTCCAACACAAGACCCAGCCAAGTCCAAACCGGGATGGAACCAGACGGGACTTTCCCAGGGCACCAGGAACCTGAACTCAGTGAACTGGGAAAGAACTATCCCTCCAGTGAGCAGACAAGCCGACTGGCTGGGAGCCCACAACCACCACCCATCGAGGTGGGCTAAACCCAAAATCTAGTAGATGTAGATGGGCCACTACGAACCGAGCAATATGCAGAAAATGCAAGGTGCCAGAGACCAGCCAAAGGAAAGACAAGGAAGACGAGAAACAGGACGCCCCACCACGAACATAACCAGTCTTTGAACCCCAGAGGAAGCAGGTTTATGCCAACACGCTGCCTGCTGGGCCAGAGACACCACCCAAAAACCTGGCCCTAAAAGAAGCCAGATTTGGGACAATAAATCATCCAGAAGGAAGCCAGTGGTACAGACTGAACAAAACCAGAATGAACCAAAGAACTGCACAGACCCGTTGCAGGACCGAAACAAGATGACCTGACGGAGCGAAGTGGAAAAAGCATACCCCTTGAGCCCCGAACACCCCAAAGGAGAAGTTGGGTGGCTTGCCCAACACCACCATATGCCGGAGGACATGACCAGAACTGCCCACAAATGCAGATGATGAGTCACAATAACGTGGTTGAAATATGTTGACTAAACCACACACTAGAAAGTGAAGGGACGAAGACGTTTCAGTCCGTCCTGGATCATTCTCAAGTTGATGAGAATGCCCACAAATCATGGGACCAAGCGTGGCAATCTGAGCCAGCCACACCCCCAGCACCCTTGCCACGGGGCAACCCATGAACCATACCAAACTGAAGAAAATGAGCTATCAGGGATAAACCTTAGTATGCCTATACCCAATTGCTAGTGAATTACAGGAATAAATCTTAAATAATGGTAGCGAATGGCATGAGCATCTAAGACCTGTGTGGACTTACTAGGAACTAAAGTTCCCTGGATCTCCAAGTTGCCATGAGGAGGCAGATGAAAATTTGCCATAACTACTGCACTGCACAGAGCACCTTAAAGCACCCAATCGTGGGTGTGCAGAGCACCATATGGTTCTTTTAGGTATAGGGAGTGATTCATAACTCCCGTGGGTACACTGGACTCGCATCCTGTGCCTTAGGATTTCAGTAAATAGACCCCACCTGGAAAAAAAATGGCTGCGAGAGCCTCAGTACCGAGAGAGCGACCAAGGCTGGCGCATACAGGAGCAGCTGACAGTACTGCTATGCAGCTAGGAACCACAGCACCACTTAGTAATTATGAGTAAAATAGGTAATTGAAATTAATTTGTGCTGAGTATCAAAGATGATCCTGAATGTGATAAAGACTATGTACAATGTACATATATCAGCAAATACAATGCTAGTTATGATATTCACAGCATGAGGTATAGACAGCACCCAGCCATTGTTTCCTGCATCTACACCTCATGAACGATCTTATGTTCCTTCACAGTATAACCGTTGAAATGGATTCATATTCAGGATTTTTGTGACAGGAATGTGATAACAGCAGTTATGTAGCTAGTCATAGTGAGATGTGTAGAATATTGGAGTCATACTTGTCTTGCATCATGTGATTGCTGGTGTTGTCTGCTTGTGGCTCCATGCTGCATTTTGATTTCATCGCCATACCCACCAGAACTGCTTATTAGTTTGTTATGGTGCATATAAATGTTGACAGTGTAATAACAGCAAGAACACCATTTGATTGATCTAAGAACATAATATACATGTCACCGTATATGAGCCCAATATTTTTTAGAATGGTGATGCTCCACACATTTAATTACAAAAATTACACAAATTACATGCTATTGAATAATATTACTGCAAAAAACTAGATATAAAACCATTCACAGACGCTGAAATAATTATGTAAAGATGTATTTGGGGCAGCCCCTGCCACACACCGTTCTCGGTCGCTAGGCTGACCTTTGATTCTTGTTCTGTGTATGTAAACTCAACACACGATCTTTGTGGTTCATTATGGTGCACAAAAATTCTGATAGTTATATGCATGGGTATATAGTGTAATGACAGCAAACACACTTTGATTGATCTCAGAATATAATATACATGACAACCATAACACACACAAATCACAATAGCGTGATGCATCAAATGAACAAATCCACAAGGGCCGTGATGAGGATTCGAACCTACGTCCGAGATCATTCCAGACGCTGCCTTTATCTATTGTAATGAAGTAAGGGCAAAGAGGGAAAACGGCCTATTGACATAGCTCGAGTGCATGGGGGAGTTGTGTAAAACCCTGGTTTGTGTCTCGGAGAGGCTGCAGGATCCAGTAAGTTCAGTAGAACTTTGGTTTCAACTCTTTTGACCATGTCGTAGCTCCGTCGATAAAGGCAGCGTCTGGGATGATCTCAGACGTAGGTTCGAATCCTCGTCACGACCCTTGTGGATTTGTTCATGTCACCATATATGAGCTCCCTAATTTTGAGCATAGCAATGTTCCATACATTGAATTATATAAATTCCACCAATTGCACCGTTTTGAATAATAATAATACAGCAAAAAAACAGAAGAAACGAATGAGAGACATTGAAATAATTATGAAAACTGGCGGAAACTGCCGCCCCACAGAGTGGTGGGGTCCAGAGTCCCCAAGTGCCTATTCACTCGGCACCCATATATTTCTCCACTTCTCAACTCCATCCTGTTTAAAGTGTGTAACTGCACTTTGGTAATTACCACAGTGTAAGGAACAGCCACCGAGGGCCTTTCCCAGTGAGGTGGCATGAATAAATGTTACTGCTCCCTGCATCTCTGTGAGGAGGTAGAGTTCTGATTCTGATCCCATGTAGACCACTAGAACTCTGTGGCTAATGTGACCCAGTAGATGGTAACCACATAGCTTCACGTTACTACAGAGGGCTCCCTAAAAACTCAATACTGCACTGTATTTACGTTTCAAAGAGTTTGTAGGTCTTTGCAAATTCTTCTGTGTATGCCTTGGTTATCCCGGCATATATCGTCTTCACCCGGGGGTAGAAATTTTTTATATTTACAAAAGGCTCATTTTCTTTATATATTTCCAGCAGTGCCTTGTAAATATTTTCAGCGTGCAGAAGCACCACACTGCCTGATGAAAAAAAAGAGTACAGACATTAATTTAGTAAAGTACATGGTAAATATACTTGAATTTATCTGAGGGCCAGTAGCACTATGTAATTACCTAAGTGTACCTAAAGTGTAGTTACAGACTGAGAGCTACGCTCGTGGTGTCCCGTCTTCCCAGCACTGTCATATAACGCTTTGAAACTACTGACGGTTTTGGCCTCCACCACCACCTCACCTTGGAGAAGTTTTGGAAGAATTTAGGGGGAGATACATGAAATGAGGATTACAATTAACAACCTGCAAAGTGAGCTGACATCAGCAAGAGAGGAGATCAAATCCCTCAGAGAAAAATAAAGAGGCTGAGCATCAGATTATCATCCAAAGGGAAGGTGGGTATGTAGCATTGGAAGGAAATGCCTCTGTACCTAAAACATATGCAGAAATACTGAGAAAGAGCTCAGATGCAATGGACACAGTGAGGGAGGTAGCCATGCAAGCCGCTACCTCACAGGAAACAGCAAGGTGCACCAGTCAGCTGCTGGAAAGAAAAAGATCAGTGGTAGTTGTAGGCATCAAAGAACGGGAAGGATCCAATAGGCAGGAATGGAATAGCAAGGACAGAGAGGCAGTACATGGGATACTGAAGGGGTTACAGATGGAAGGGGCTGAACAAAACATTGAGAAGCTTTTCAGGTTGGGCTGGTACAACAAGGACAGAAACCGACTGGTAAAGGTGGTGTTTACAAACAAGTCCACGAAGGTTATTCTAGAAAGGAAGAGTCATCTGCAGTATGTGGAGGAATACAAAAAAGTATTCCTGCAGAGGGACAGGACGAAGGAGGAGAGAGCCAGGGCAGCAGAGGCAAGGAGGAAGTGCAGGGAGAGAGGAGTAAACCAGGAAATTGCAGCCCCCAACACAACAGTCCCAGAGACAAGAGGGGGAGCCCACAACCAGCATCCCAGCAATACCAGAGGCGAGGGCAACACCACCACCCCCCTCTGCATAGAAACCCTCCCTTCCCCTCACCCTACCTGCCCCCACCCAAATGCTCACCCAACCCTCCCCCCCCCCTCCCCACCCCATTCTGACCCTGTCACCCCTCCCCCATTTCCACAATGTCCCCCCTCCCAACTTCCCCCCCCCCCTGTCCCCCCTCCCCATCCCTCCTCACCCCATAACCTCCATGTCCCCCCCTATTTCCTTACCCCACACCCTACCTGTCCCCCCTTCCCTTGAACCCCCACCCCAAAATCCTCTGAGACCCTTCACACCACCTCTCAGATCTTCTCACTCAGGGAACAGCTTTCCCCACCAGCAGAATGCTCCCCACGAAGGGGACAAGAAAATGAACAGAAGAAAGTGAGCTTCAGGGCAATGTACACTAACATAGATGGGATTACAAATAAAACAAGTGAACTCTGAGAACGGGCACTAGAAGAAAACCCAGACATAATACCACTCACAGAAACAGAGCTAACGAAAACCATAACAAACGCAATGTTTCCACAGGGCTACTATGTAGTGAGGAAAGAGAAAGGAGAGGTGGTGGTGGTGTAGCTTTGCTGATAAGAAAAGGTTGGAGTTTTGATGTGGCAACAACATTGTTCTAGCAACAATGTGGTTGCTAGAACAATAATAACTCTTATGACAAGCACTGTAAAAATACAAATGGTAGTAGACTTAATGGCATCTAATTTATAACAAAATAAAGTTGAGAAAAACTATACATTATATATAATGGTAATAATAAGACATGTGGTAGAAATACTGCAAATGACTTTTTTTTTCAAAACAAACAGAATAACTGCAGAGTGCAATCAATTATAAATTCTGCGGATATCTACACCTAGCTCATCCAGAGCACTATACAACTCTGGCTCTGACTGAAGGTCCGGAACAGATGAAACTTCATGCGACAAACTATCATCTTGAGAGATATCCTCGTTAACATCTATCCAATGGACATGTGGTGAGTGCACGGTTGAAACGAGAGGTCTAGATCTAAGATTATAATTGCTAGTATGGGGTTGCTGAACATCCAGTGGTCTGTCAACCACAGAAGGTGGTGTCTGAGTAGGAGTATCTGTCTGGGTAAGTTCATTGTCATCTTCCTCATCAGTCTCGTCAACAGTCATTTTAGCTAACTTCATGTGGTCTAAATGTTCATTTATATACTCTCCTGTTAACAAGTTCTTAAGTCTGTATTTGTTACCTTTAATAAGCTCGATTACCTTATATGGACCCAAAAATTTCTTAGTTAACTTGTACATAGGACCAGACCTGTGTTGGTTAAGTATCATTACTACAGATCCAATAGTTATTTTACTGGGTTTAGCGCGTGCATTCCTTGCTAGAGTGAACTCGGCTGTTGCTTTGGACAGTTGTTCTCGTATTTTCTTGAATACTAGTTGCATTTGTCTACGCTTCATTTGAACAAAATCATCTACGTTATATAAGGGAGTAGGAGGTACGTTAATCAATTCATTAGGGAGGATCTTATCTGTACCATAAAGAATAGCGTGAGGTGTGTCACCAGTAGAAACATTAATTGAAGAATTTATAGCACACTGAATTAAGGGTATAAAATCATCCCAATTGTTGTTATCAAAATTCAACGTGACTCTCAAGGCATCTAACACTTTCCTGTTAGTACGTTCAGCTAGTCCATTACTTGCCGGATGATAAGGCATGATGCTACATTTTTTGATGTTATATAAATCACACAAGCTAGTTAGAATACTACTACTGAATTCTGGACCATTATCTGAAAGGATTACTTTAGGCATACTATATCTACAAATTATTTGGTCATGGAATGCGCTGGCTATGGTTTCTGCTGTTTTGTTCGGGATAGGAACTAGTTCGCAAAACCGTGAAAAATTATTGACCATTACAAGCAAATGTTTGTTCCCTTTCTCTGTTTCCGCAAAATTTGTCAATAAATCCATCGATATTCGTTCCCAAGGAGCTTTAGTTGCTGGGTACACCTGAATTGGATTAGGTCCTGAAACATGTCCCTTGTGCTGTAAACAAGTTAAACATCTGTCAACATAATGAGCAATCCCCTTAGCCATTTTTGGCCAAAAATATTTCAATCGACCTTGTTGGAGTGTACGATCCTTTCCTGGATGTGCACTTGCAGGAGCATCATGGATAATTTTTAACACAGTTGGTACCAAGACAGCTGGAACAACTAACTGACAACATTTCCTCGGGGCTGTCCCTAGCTTTACTACTCTACACAGTAAATTGTCCAACATAACTAGTTCTTTCAATGGTACTGGCGGTTTATGAATCGGGCGAGTATCTTGCTTAGTCAAAAATTTAATGACGGGTGCCCATATGGGGTCTTGTCTTTGTTCCGTTTCTACTACTGTAGCATCTAATGCTGGGTAATTTAACTAAATCGCAGCTACGTGTCGAGAAAACGCATCGGCTACAACATTTTGCTTTCCTGGAATATATCCAAATGTGGGATTGAATTCTTGAATTGTGAGCAAATATCTAGCAAACTTTCCAACTGGATTCTTATTTTTGAACAAGGGAATTAATGGTTGGTGATCTGTAAGAACATGAACTGAGTAATTATAAATTGTATCCTTGAAATGTTTAAGTGCCCAAACAACTGCCAAGGCTTCTCGTTCTGTTGCACTATAATTTTTCTCTTCTTTAGATAAAGTACGGCTAGCATAAGCTATTGCGTGATCTCTGTGACCTTCTGTTTGAAGTAATGCAGCACCTAGACCTATGTCACTAGCATCTGTAACCAACGTAAAAGGTTTAGAAAAATCTGGGTACCTAAGGACAGGTGACGAAATCAAGGCTGCTTTGAGTTTTTTGAATGACTGATCCTGGGCCTCTCCCCAAACAAAGGGTTCATCTTTTCTTTGCAACTTGTAAAGCGGAGCGGCTATAATAGAGAATCCAGCAATAAATGAACGATAAAATCCTACAAGACCTGTGAACTGTCTTACGGCTTCTGCGGTACGAGGTGTTGGAAAATCACGGGCAGCAATAATTTTTGATTCATTCAATGTAATACCTGAAGGTGTAACTGTATGACCTAGGAAATTAATCTTCTGCTTTAAAAATGAACATTTTGCAAGCTTTATTTTTAAATTAGCTTCAGCGAGCTTTGCAAGTACTTTTTCAAGGTTCTGGAAATGAGTCTGAACATCTTGCGACATGATTATGAGATCATCAAGGTAAACTAGAAGCGTACTTCCTATCAATCTACGAAATAGATTTGTCATGAGCCGTGAAAAGGTTATTGGACTACTACGCAAACCAAACGGCATTCTTTTGAAATGAAAATGACCATTGGGAGTACTAAAGGCTGTCAATTGTTTACTTTCCTCATCAAGGGGGATTTGCCAGAATCCCTGCAACAAATCTAACGTTGAGAATACTTTGTTTCGACCAATACTTTGCAACAAATCATTGAGAACTGGAAGTGGGAAACGATCAGGTATTGTTACTCTGTTAAGCTTGCGATAATCGATTACAGGTCTCCAAGTCCCATCTCGCTTTGGTACAAGAATCAATGGAGCTGGACGTGAGAAAAGCTTTCGGGCCGGACGGAATCTCACCATGGGTATTGAAAGAGTGTGCAGGAACACTTTGTTTGCCACTCTCCATAGTGTATAGTAGGTCACTGGAAACTGGAGACCTACCAGAAATATGGAAGATGGCTAATGTAGTCCCAATATACAAAAAGGGTTACAGACTAGAGGCACTGAACTACAGGCCAGTGTCCTTAACTTGTATACCATGCAAGGTGATAGAGAAGATCGTGAGAAAAAAACTAGTAACACATCTGGAGAGAAGGGACTTCGTGACAACCCATCAACATGGGTTCAGGGAGGGTAAATCTTGCCTTACAGGCATAAGGGGCTATGTTACAGGAACTATGAGAGTTGTTGTAGGGTATTCATAATTTATTATCCTGATACATGTGAAAGGTGCTGCAACTAGGCCAAGTTTCAGCATCTCAGCCTAAATAGAGAAGGAGAAAAAAAAAAAAAAAGACAATTTTTCAACAATGTTCAATTGCTTTCACAGCCCACAATTGTGAACCAAAATCATTTCTATGACACTCAGCTATGACCTTACTATATAATA